TGGGGTCCCCCAAGCACCTCCTAAAGTGATCCCTGGGCACAGAACCAGGAGTAAACCCTGAGCACCACTTGATGGCCCCCAAAGCAAGAGGAGGATGAAGATGATGATGAGAAGGAGGACGAGGAGGAGGAGGAGGAGGTATATGAAGAGGAGTATGATAGGAATCTGCAACCCCCACCTTCCAGGGAGAAGAGGATCCTATTGCCATGATATCAGCACACCCAAAGCTTCTCTGAGGGAGAATCAGATTCCTACGCATACCCGACTCCGCACCTGGGCCATGCCGAAAGCAAAAATGGGGGTAACACTCATGCCCTTTTCACAGACCTGTCTGGGAGTCAGAGGGAGTGGCCCAGTTAGGTCAGGTCTACCCCATGAATGAATGAATTCATTCTACCCCAGACTTAAGCATAGTACTGGAATGATCCACGCAAGTTCACAGGCCCTCAAGGGTCAAGGATGAATCAGAGCCCCCCCCCCCCCCCCGTGATGAATGGGGAAATGGAGGCAGAGAAGAAAGGTTTGCCTGGGGTCCTTCAGACCATCCTGGGAATAAAGCAGATATTCTGATCACCCCCTCACCTCTGCCGCCATAGGGTATGGCCTCTCCCACACCTCTCCCCTGGGCCTGACCCTAGAAGCTGACCCAGGATGCGCAACACATAGAGGAGAGTGAGCAGCTCTGTGATCCTGCATCTCACTGGCGCTGGAGGAAGTGGGATCTGAAGAGGACCTGCCTCTCCCGGTTCTTCTGAGGACACGCGCCTCTCCTGCAAACATCTGCAGGGATGCCTCCCCAGCAACACTCACTGCATAGCAGCCATCAGCCCCCTCACTCATGTTCTTCTTCCCCAGTCCCCTCTTTTCCTGGGGACCCATCCTGAGGTCCTCCTGCCTCTCCCAGAGTGGGAAATGGGGGGAGGGGGTTGCTGATGCCACATGCTGGGGATTCAGAACTGACCCAGACTCCCTGGGGACTCTGAGCACTGCTTCCCAGCTGCCTCAGGCCATGCAAGGAGGCAGCCTCCCCCCCATCCCAGCCCCCACGTGGAGAACAAGACTCTGGGCTAGGAACTAGGGTGTCCTGCTTGCCTGCTCTGTGCAGCTCCGGTCTCTTACCACTTAGCCACAGAGACCCCCCCTCCTTTTCCGTCTCCCAGCTGGCTCCTCCTTCCTGCCACCACTCCCAGCATCAGCCAGGGGAGAAAGAGGGTGGGGGGGCTGTGGGGGGAAGTACAGACTTCTGCAGGGAGCAGGTGGGAGTCCTGGCTGGCGAGCAGGGGTGGGTGGGTGGGTGGGTGGGAGGAGGGTGGACTCTCTCCACTTCCAGGGCTCCGCCTGGCCCCAGCTCTGCTCAGCGGAGCCTATAGGGCAATTATCCTAATCATGGGCATCTCCCAACAGCCCTTTGATTTATTAGCGCCACGTCTTTTTAAAATGCCGCTCTTAAATATAAATAACACTTAATCATCCAGCTGTCGTTAAATTCATGTTATATTGATTTCTTGGAGTGCCACAGATTTGAGGGCGAATGGGCTGGCGGCTGCGCGCGAGCACAAAGCCAAGAGGTGGTTGCACGGCGGGGGGACGGGGGAGGGCGGGGGGGAGGAGGGGAGAAGGAAGGCGGGGTACGGCGGGGCGAGAAGGGGGGTGGCGGAGGGGGGAGGCGGGGAGAGGTAACGGGGTGGGGCGGCACCGTAGCTCACAGGACACAGCCCCTGGGAGGGGTCCGACCCGTTTCACTTCCTAGCCCTGGATCCCGAGAAGAGGCTTTCAAAGGCACACGCGCGCATCACACATCTGTTGCGCTGACAAAGGTCCAGCACCCGCAAGCCCCCGACAGCCGCTGCAACAGGTCTGCGCGCGGCATTGTCCCCGTCTGCCCGCTCCGGGGAAAGGCCCCCTGGCTGTCTGTGCTGTGGCTGCCACGATTTCTTTGCATGCAAGTCTGGGAGTAACTAAGGAGCCCAGGGCCCTTCCTTACCCCGCCCCCTTCGCACTCTCGCCCACTTCTGGGCCTCCCTAGAAAGACCCCCCACCCCCACCCCCACCCATCCACCCCCAATTCCCAGCAGCCCTCCTGGAGATTAAGAAGATCGCGAGGCTGGCCAGGGTTGGGCTGATTCGGCCAGGCTGTGCTCCTCCGGCAAGCCGCAGCTAATGGCAAAGAACTGGAAGAGCAGGAGAGAAGGATGGAGCCTTCAGATCTGTCTGGGAAGGCTGGGCAGAGCGGCGCGGGGCATCCCAGAGGAATGCAGAGATCGAGAGAGCCCCGGGCACCCCAGGCCTCCGGCGCCCACCTGGATGCCACAGCTTTGCAGCCTGAGATGGAAGGAAGCGTTCCCAACTTGGGGGCTTCTACTTAACGGCAACCCCCTTCAAGTGCTAAAAACCTCCGAGAACAGGGAAGGGAGGCGGCAGAGAGTGGCAGACAGGGACACGGTGACCCCATGACATCCCTCCCTTGTCTGCCCCACCACCACCACCTCTGAGGCTGGGTCAGAGAACCAGGAGGAAAAAATAAACAAACACCTGCTTGACACAGATGTTAATTAATGCCTGCTTTGTCCCAGAAACCAAATCGGTACCTCACACTCACTGCTGCGGCAAGTGTGGGCAACGGTTTGAATCCCTGCTTTCAAACAGGCTCCTGCAGGCAGGCGGGTTTGGCATTCAAGGTCCGAGGCCGGAAAGGCAAAGGAGAGAAAGGAAAGGGGAGTGGGGTCCTTCCACGGAAGGTCAGGGCCCCATCCTTCCAGGTCCCCCAAGGGAATGTTTCTCCGGCTGCTCCCCATGATGGCTGGAGTCCCCGGGTGCTTGGGAGAAACCTCCCCATTCATGTACCCAGGGGGCAAGCAAGAAGAAAGCCAGGGGTGGGTCTTGTCTCATACAGAGCTGGGCTGACCATCACCCAGGGGTGGGTCCTGTCTCATACAGAGCTGGGCTGGCATCACCCAAGCTCTGGGAGAAGGCCTGCGTCCATGTGGTTGCGCGTGTGTGATACGCTGCCATTCTTGAGAATGAAATAGTGTGGCTTCCCCCTACCGGTTTCTCCCCGTTGTGAGAACTTTGCTTTATCCCAAGCACCCTTCCAATGCATCCAGAGCCACTCACAGGCACACAGCAGCGGGCAACCTTCACTCCCACCCAAGGGACATGGTCCTGCCAATGCAGCCCAGCCCAGCACAGCACAGCACAGCCCAACACAGCCCAGGAGAACCTCGTTCAGAAAAAAAATGGTCCAGAGGGCGCTGAGAGAGTCTTTTCTCCCTGTGTCCACCCTGAGGATTTACAGGAGGAAATGCATAGTCTATGGCCAGCACGGAGGCCCTTCATCAAAACAATGGTGACTCCTTAACCCGAAAGTTCTAGAAGAGTCTCAGCATGCCTCGCCCTGGGCAGAGCACCCTGCAACCCAAAACTTGCGCAGACCACCCCCAGCTTATCCCATTTGTCGCCAGACTGCCCAGCCAGAGACAGCGGGAAGAACAGAGGACCTTGCTCTATTTATATTCAACTGAAAAACAATGTTTTATTTAGAGCTGACATTCTCCTGCCCACGACTTTGGTGCAGGGAATAAGTTGCTCTTTGACCCCCGCCCCCTCCAAATGGGAACTGTATTTTTTTTAAGCCTTCTTCTGCAACCCCCTACCCCTGTCCCATCTCCTATATCCTCTGGGGGAAAAAAAGTTTTGAAAAGTGAATAACCCGTGTTACTCTAGTCACGGTTAATAATAACAACAATAATAGTAACAATAATAATAATAATAATGTGACTGGAAGGGGGAAACTTCGGGAATTCGAACCCAGAACCGCAGGCTTCTGCGACGTCTGGGGTAGCCTGGCTCTGGGGGACGCAGGCACACCCAAGGACGCCAGCCTTCTGCTAGGGTGGGCACTGCCAGCCAGCTCTTAAGAAAGAGGAGCCTCCCTCCCCTTCACGACCACATCCGCCTGGACGCCCCCCCCTCCCGGCCTCGAGTTCTTTTGCTCATACACACACCACACACACACACACACACACACACACACACACACACACACACGAAAGGTATAAGCCAGGTGTGCGCCCCGCACGGGGGATGCCCGGGCGCCTTCCGCCACGCTTGCGGAGGGCCCAGGAGGGCGGGGAAGGCGCCCGGGCTCCCGGGCCACCCCTCCACCCGGTGGGCTCCGTCCAGCCCCCAGTCCGAAGGGCGGGAAGCGGGTCGTGCCTTTGACCGAGGCTCAGTTCGCTCAGTGCCCCCGGCCCGCCCCACCGGCCGCGGCGCCTTCCCGGGGAGTCGGCTGCGCGGTGCTGCCTCTTACCGGGGAGACGCGGAGTCGGTTCCCCACGCGCCGCCCTCCAGAACCGCAGCCCCTCCGCCCCCGGGGCCTCCTCCTCGGCGCGCCGGCCACCGCGCGCCCCAAACACCCACCGGCCTGGCACCGGCTCTGGCTCCCCCTTAAAAAAAATAAGAAAGAAAGAAAAGGGGGAAAAAAACCCACATGTCCACTGGCCTCCGGGACAGGAAGGGCGCTGGGCCCCGCTCCCCAAGATCTCCCATCACTTCTCCTTTTCTTTCCCGCCCCCATCAGCTCAGGGGAGCAAATGGGGCTGCGAACTGGGGGCAGGAAAAAAATTTGGGGTGGGGGAGAGTAATCGCTGGCAGCCGACTGCTGGGAGAGGGAGCGGCGGGGTAGGCAGACACCCAATGCCATCCCGCCAGAGCCCCGAAACACAAGTCCGGCGTCCGGATGGCGGGAGAAAGAGCCCGGGCTGGCCCTGCCCCTCCGCGCGGCACCTCCACGGGGGTCCAGGTGGGACGTGGGCAGGTGCGTGTGCGCCGTGTGTGTGCGTGTGTGCGTGTGTGTTGTGTGTGTGTGTGTGTGCGCGCGCGCGTGTCTGTATGTATGTGTGTGTGTATGTGTGTGCGCGCGTGTGCGTGCCGTGGGCTGGCTCCGGGGCAGCCGAGGACTGCCGGCCCCCCAGCCCGGGTCCCTCCGGCCGGCTCCTTACCTGCGAGCGCCGCTCTGGCCGCCGTCAGCGGGCGCGCCGCATTGACACTGCAGATGGTGTCGGAGCCGCTCGCCGCCTCTCGCCCTCCGCGGAACGTGTGCGTGTGCGCGCGTGCGGCGGCCGCCTCCAGCCCCAGCCCCGAACGCAGCGGACGCTCCTCCGAGGCCGGCCGGGCGCGGGGCGCACCCCCGCCGCCGGGGCTTGACAGCTCCTCCCGCCGCGGCCAAGGTGGGCGGGATGCCCACCTCCTTCCTCCCCCCACCCCCTAAAAAATCGCAAAGGTCGGGAGCTGAAGAGCGATGATTCCTGCCGAGCACCCCCTTTTCCTCCCTCGGGCTCCGGCCGCGGTGGCCGCTGTCGGGGGCTGCTGCGGTGCCGACGCGGGGCTGGCACACCCCCCCTCCTCTCTCTCTCTCGACTCCCGCTCTTCGTCCCCACCCCCGCGGGCTGAATGTCCTTGATGCCAGGCGGGCACGGCGGCGTCACTCCGCGCCGCCCATGCTCGCCCGGTCGGGCCGCTGCCCGGGCGCGGCGAGGGCGCGGGGGACCCGCCGGGGAGCGCTCGGGCCGCCGGGACGCGCCTCCCTGGGCAGCGGCGGCCGCCCCCCGGCCGTGCGCGCCCGCCCGCCGCGCCGCGCCTGCCGCCCCCGCCGCGGCCGCGGGACTGAGCGGGCGGCGCCGAGGGGCCGGGGCTGGGGCTCCCCGGGGAGGCGCGGGGCTGCGGCGGCGAGCGCGGCCGCGGGCCGAGCCGGGCCTCCCGGGCGCGCCCCCGGCCCCCCGGGCGGGCTGCTCGCAAAGTTTGCAGGGGGCAGGGAGCGGGGCCGCCGCTGGCTCGGCCGCCGCCGGAGCTCCCGGGCTGCCTGCTGCCGCCGCGGCTCGCTGCTGCTGTGCATTGAAGCCCGGCCAAGCGCTGCAAAAACTCCAGCTGCCTGGCGCTCTCTGGGTCCTCCTCTCCTCCCGCCCGCCTCCCCGCTTCCCTGCCTCCCTCCCCTGCCTCCTCCCGCCCCTCCCCGCCGCCGCCGCCGCCGCCGCTCCCTCCCTAGCTCGCGCCGGCTGCCGCGGAGCTCGCGGCTGACGTCCAGACCCGCGGCGAGCGGCCGGCAGAGGGGGCTGGGGGCGCCGCTCCCCCTCTCGGGCGCACACTCCGCCTGGCCGGCCCCGCCGGCCACCGACCTTGGCCGGCGCCCCCGCGCCCAGAGATCCTCCCGCGGGGAGGGGGGGATTGGGGGCCCCTGCGGGACCAAGTGGGGGCGCACACGTGGTGCCACACGGACGCTGGGGCGCACAAGGTCCAGGAGAGGAGGAGAGCGGACCCCGATCCTAGCCAGCCCCTTCCCCCTTTGCGGAGCGCAGCCGTCGCGCCGCAGCGAGGCACCCCGGGACGCGAGGCGTGGGGTGGGGAGGGGGTGATGGCGAGAGCAGGGGGGGCCCAGAGCCCTAGAACTGCCCCGGGCGAGTCCAGTCACGTTCCAGTGACCCGCTGACCTGTCTGTCCCTTCTGAGCACCCTGGCTTGCCCCCCGCGCCCCCCACCCCATCGCGGCCCCAAGCAAGGCAGGGCAGCCAGGGGAAGTCCATAGGACAAAATGAGGGTGTCCCTCGGGCTGCGAAGCAGGGGAGAAACTGCCGGGGTGGGAGGGGCGCCCTCCCAGGGAATGTCACTCGGAAGGGAAGCGGGCCCCTGAAGACTCACCCCAACTCCGTGTGTTCTCTCCTGTCCTGGTGCCATCAAAGCTGCCAGTATAAGAACCTCCTGGGTTAGGCTGAGTTCACGGTCCTAGCACCCTCTGGAGGGGTCCTCCGTGGCTTTGGACTTCTCCTGCCCCGTCATCCTCAACTTTCCTGTGCCCAGCACTCCCTGCCCTTTACTGCCCCCCCCCCCCCATCTCAGTTTCATGCAGTGACTCCCGTTCCTACACCTTCCTGTAGGGGTGATTCCTGCAGCCAAATTAGTGAAGTGGAGAGATGGGAGCTGACAGACACCAAGGTGCGCAGCTCAAGCAAGGTTCCACCCAGTCAGAGGACCCAGCCGGTGATGCTCTGGAGGAGGGGGTGAGCCTGTCTGGGGACACAGCTCCAGACGGGGGCTGTTAGGCTGAAGGGTTTTCCAGGAGACAGGGAGGAGCCCCTACAGCCTCTGGTTCATGGCAGCAGAGCATGGCCCGGCCCTGGAGCAGCCAGGAGTTATCCTATTAGCTTGCCGTAATACATTGATCTGGCTCCTCTGGTCTCAGAAATCCTGGATCCCAGACTCTAAGATAAAGCACACAATATCAGGTTAGTTTCGGAAGTCCAGAGGAAAACACACAACCAGATAGCAGCCCGCAATGACTGCGGGGGGCCCCCATGGGGGCAGGGAGGCCCTACTCCCTAGGTCGGAAGATGGGGGTGAGACCAGAAGGCCAAGAGAGTCACCTGGGGCTGGTCTTGACCCCCTGGAATATGACTGTGCACCCTCCCTGGGACTATCACAGAGAAGTGACAGCCCAGAGAGTCACAGCCAAAAGCCTAATGGATTACTTAGGGAATACGGTTCAATAAATGCAGGGGGAGGGAGGGAGGGAATCTTTCAAACCTCTGTTTGCCACTGGGCTTTTAGGGTGTGCCATAAAAATGCCAGACAGGAGGGGGAGAGAGAAAGCAGCTCTATCACTGTGACATGTATTTTTAATATAACAGGGGTGGTTTGCCCTTGTAATGTGGTGTGTGTGTGTGTGTGTATGTGTGTGTGTGTCTGTGTGTGTACATGGAAAGTAGTGAGGTTTGGAAGGGTCCACGCAAGTGAGTCGTCTATATGTGGTGTCTGTACGTGTATGTCTGCGTGTCTCTCTGTGTGGTGTTTGTCTCTGATGTGTGCCTGTGTGACGCAAGTGATGTGTGTGTGCACGCCTGTGTGTGTATCCGCACACTTGCCTGTCTGTGCGTGTGCGTGAAACTTCCGGAGGATTCCAGGTCCATTTGCTGATGGATGGATGGGAAGTCAAAGGCCTTTTGTGAGCGGTGGCAAATAAAATGTATTTATTATTCTTTATCTCCTGCCTGGTGTGTGGTGTCATTTATTTTCATCGAGAGAAATGAATGCCATGTGGCGCCTGAAGAGGAATGACAGAGCCAAATGACAGGGAAGAGGGGAGCCGCAAAACCTGGTCTGCGAGAGAAGGTGACTCCCCCATGCTCCCAGGTTCCCAGGGACCCTGTGGCTGAGGGCCTTCTCCTGCCTTCCCTCGGCGTTGGCGGCAGGGGACAGGTGCTTGACAGGTAGGTAAGGAGTCACTGTGCATGGCTTCATTCTTTGCAGTGTGGTGGCCCCTTGGATTCCTGGGCAGCAGAGGCTGTGGGATGGGAGGAAGAGAGCTGCAGGTGGGTAGGTCAAAGATGGCAATCCTCTCGTCCTGACTGGTCCTCCCACATCCAGCTCTGTAATATGGGGCCAATCTCATCACCGTCGGGGGGAGAGTTCCTCCGGCCCCCGGCCCCCTGAGGAGAGTCACACTGCATGCACACGCTCTCTGTTCACAGCCGTGTGCCTGGTGGAGTCAGCATTGCTCTTCAGAAAAGCCGGTTCACTGTGACTTAGTGACAGGGCCCACTGCCATGGGGGCACTGCCATCCTCTGCCCTCCTGACCCTTCTCTGTGAAGACTTGGGCAGGGAAATCCGCCTCTGTGCCACTCAAAATGGGCCTCTGGATTAGGTGCCATTAGGCCCTCCATTGCCAAAGGGCCTCGAGACACAAGCTTCCCCTTTGCAGCCAACAGCTAAGAGCGACCTGCTCTACCTGCCACTACCTTGTGGAAAGTGAGGTGTATAATCACCTGGCTTTGGGAATGTGGCTTCATATGAGTTTATTTCCTTTCTCCCTCTGTCCCTTTCCATTTCTCTCTCTTTTCTTCCACTCTCCCTCCCTCCTTCCCTTTTTCTCCCTCCCTCCCTCCCTTCCTTCCTTCCTTCCTTCCTTCCTTCTTTCTTTCCTTCCTTCCTTCCTTCCTTCCTTCTTTTCTTCCTCCCTTCTCTCCTTCTTTCCTTCCTTCCTTCTTTCTTTCCTTCCTTCCTTCCTTCCTGCCTGCCTGCCTTCCTGCCTGCCTTCATAATTCTTTTCTGCCTTCCTTCCTTCCTTCCTTCCTTCCTTCCTTCCTTCCTTCCTGCCTGCCTTCCTGCCTGCCTTCATAATTCTTTTCTTTCTTCTTTCCTTCCTTCCTTCCTTCCTTCCTTCCTTCCTTCCTTCCTTCCTTCCTTCCCTCCTGCCTGCCTGCCTTCATAATTCCTTCCTTCCTTCCTTCCTTCCTTCCTTCCTTCCTTCCTTCCTTCCTTCCTTCCCTCCTGCCTGCCTTCATAATTCCTTCCTTCCTTCCTTCCCTCCTGCCTGCCTTCATAATTCCTTCCTTCCTTCCTTCCTTCCTTCCTTCCTTCCTTCCTTCTTCCTGCTTTCCTCCCTCCTTTCACCCTATCTATCTATCTATCTATCTATCTCTATTTCTATCTCTTTTCTTGATGCCATGATCAACCCCAGGGCCTCACACATGTAAAGCACATGTCCTACTGCGGAACCACACCCCTGTCCCACAAAGTGCTATTTTTCTAAGGAGGCAATTTGGTTGTGGTTTATTAAGGGGCTTGGGGAGAAAATTATTGGCTCATCTCTCATGGCTGAATCAAAGAGCCAGATTTAATAGGAGCAAGAAGAAGAAATCCTTAAGTTTCCTTTTGCTCAGCTACCACCATTTTATTAGCCTTGGAACAGAGCTGCTATTTAAGTTGATAGAAGCCAGATTGGCTCTTTAGATAAATCACCAGAGCCTGGTGGTGCTATAGAGAAATTCCATCCCCACCCCCACCCCAAGAGCTGGCCCCATGGCTGGGTTTTATCCAGGGAATGCTGGTGCCTGGACGAAAACCACAGGCAGTTTCGGCTTAAAAACCTAAATTGTGGCGCCACCTGCAGGCGACTATAAGTATCGACTTTATCCCAACTCAAAAGAGGAGAAGCAGGAGCCTCTTGGCTGTGACCCAGTGGGATGCTAGAAGAGACGACCCCAACTTCCCACATCCGTGCATCCCCGGTTGTTCACCCCACACGCCAGCGACCTGCCACCTTGCAAGCTGCCACGTAGGGGTCTCCACTGCTGCTTTCAAGATCGTCTGCGCATTGAAACGAATACAGTCTCTCCTCTGTTACCGTAGTACTTCAGTAAACCTCTAGATCAAGGCTTACTTAATTTTATTTTTGGGACTCCAGGTCACAGAACAGGGCAGATAAATGGCA